AGGATTAAAAAAAGAACAAAGAAAAGTGGTCATTTACTATAACATAGTAAGACCAAACAACAAAATATTTATATCTGTAAGTGAAAAATCTTCACCTGCCAAGAACACAGTTAAAAGCAGCAGTCCTGCCCTGAAGTCCATATTGTTAAACTGTGAGTCCACTGCTCTCTGTCATCCTTTCTGCTGTCAGATAAGTACACATGAAAGACATTAGTGTTTTGCATTAACTCCTCCTCACTGGAAGAACTCAGAATTAATCATTTTCTCAACTTGTTTAGAGTCCACACAAATTTAAACCACATTATAATGTTTGATTTGAGCCAGAAATTAATTAAATACAAGTTTAAGTCTGTTTTACATTTTGTACCTCATATCATTTCAAACATTTCTACATTTCAGCAAAAATGCTTTCTGAAATCAATTTAAAATTCAATTTTGTTTTCATGCTTTCTTAGAAATAAATATGAAAATAGGAGAGATTTTAGTCATTACCATGACAATGAAATTATCATGACTGTAGGTGCAAGACAGAAAAAATAAAATGCTGTTTATCATAGTTAAAATAGTAGTAGTAGGAGATTTGTACTCCTTTGTCACTCTATTCACTGCCTAATTTGCTAACAATGAAGACTTAATTCTTCTGGTACAAACAATAAGAGAGGCTGTTACATACTTCAGTGAAATAACATAAAGAAACTAAAAGTAGCTTGCATGCAATGGCTGAATGCACAGAGGATGCAAGAGTGAGCATGTGCAAAACACAAAAACTAAATGCTTTCATAGCCAAGCATACATAAAGGAGAGGAACCACCAAATGCTCTGGCAAATCTGCTTTATTGTGCACCTGATCCTGGCCTGCTCAGGTCTCCACATCTATAAGAGGGTGAGCTCCACCCACTAATTACCTAAAAGAAAGGAAACCAGAAAACAAGGCCAGTCACCAGACCATCACTGTAGAAGGATGCTAGAAGAGATCTCTACATCAAATTAATTTTTGATATGATGTGAAGCAGCTAAGACAGACACAAAAGTGCTAGCTCATTCAATATGAACTTCAGGCAACACACAGATGATTGTTCTATACTAAATTAGAGGTTCTGTAAGTTTTTGTTCAATACTAAAGTAAAGTACAGTAATCCAGGTAGGAAGTGATAAAGCAAGAATGACTTTTTACAGTCCCTTTTGCAGGAGTTTAAACAAAAATCATGCCCAAAAGCATGACAATAAAAAATCATATAACTCAGAGTTTCAGAAGAGATTCTTTAGGGGTGACATACAGTTGGACACTTCTACCAGTAAATTATACCATAAACATCTTTGACTAAAACTGAGGAGCCTGATCTTCATCCACAGCACAGGATCTCTGCTTTTCAGTTTGACTGGCAACTGGATGTCATCAGTGAAGCAGTGGGAAGATAATTTATGCTTTCAAGAGGCAACATACATAAAAAAAAAGGAATTGGGGACAGAAACTCTACAAGTTCTTGTAGTACAGTACTTTGAAGTTGAAGATTAAATCTTTGGAGCTGATCTGTCTTCTGACTGACAGGCAGACATATTACTCCCTTTTAAGTAACAATCATTTGCATATTCTTGAATATATTATGTTTTGAGCCATTCAAGGTGTTAGAGTGAATTGTTAAATGTTGTCATTTCTATGCTTGCCAACTCTGATGAAAGGAACTCCACTGTCCTTCCCCCCAGATTCTCGAGGTTCTGGGTGGGGGACTGTAGTCTTTTATTACAGACACATCCTTGTGCTTTTTGATGTAACCTTCCTGCGATACATACAATGCCTTGTCTTAGAACCTGTCAGCGGTGTGTGTGGAGGCGTGGAAGAGATGACCCAAACGCTGGACTCACGGTGCAGAAATGAAGAGGATTTATTGGAGGGTGAATGAATAAAGCAGGAACGATGGAGTAGCTGGCTGAAAGACTGGAAGAATGGCTGACTGACTAACTGAACATACTGGCGGATGAGACACATTACCATCAGACGTACATCAATGACACGACAAAGAACTGGTGAAACCGAGGAACTAAATACACAGGTTGAATGATGACAGTGATTGGAAACAGGCGAGTACAGGGCTGAACATAATCTGACTAATGACACGGGGGACAAGCTGACACGGGGAAAAGACAGGAAGTGAGAACATTAATGTGGCGAACTAAACTGAACATGAACAAACTGAAATCACTGGGTCAACGACCCAGGAACCCTGACAGAACCAAGTGGGCGTTGCTTTGCTATGATGTGTTTTGTGTGAACTGTCTCTCAATAAAAAGGCAGCGAGAGGAGGTCGTCGTCGGGGTCATTTTCGTGGTGGACACAGACGAGGCCTTCCTTGCGCAAATAATCTATCGACTGTCTTGTTTTCTTCATGATGAATAAGTCTCTAGAATTAGCGGGGCTTGTGGAAACACAGACCCAACACAAGGTATCAGCAGTAAATAGACAATCTATTTTTAATGTAATGTATTGTTACAACTCTATTTTCAGTTGAGTAAATCTGTTATGTCTAGAACACACAGTCCCAGACTGACAGATGTCAGTGACTTTGGTTCTTAGCTAAGATCGTAACATGATGCTAAAGCAGTTCAAGTTCTAAAATTGGCAAGGCACCAAAACCTGCTGGTTTGTTTGAATTGATCATTATTTATTTCAGTCCAACTGTCTATAATTTTACTTGTTTTTATTTAGTCATTTATATTATTTTTGCTTAATGAAGCCAGTTGTTGTTGACAGCATGTTACCAGCATGACCATCCATCCATCCATCCTTTTTCTTCCGCTTATCTGGGGCCGGGTCGTGGGGGCAGCGGCCCAAGCAGAGAAGCCCAGACCTCACTCTCCCCAGCGACCTCCTCTAGCTTATCCGGGGGATCACTAAGGCGTTCCCAGGTCAGCCGAGAGATATAATCTCTCCAGCGTGTCCTGGGTCTATCCCGGGGCCTCTTCCTGGTGGGACAAGCCCGGAAAACCTCACCCAGGAGGCGCATGACCTCACTGGCAATAGCTTTCCTTTAAAAAGTCTTGTGATTAATTTCAACAGGAGCCCCAGAAGGGGCATTCATTGTGCCCTATTCATTGTGCCCTGCCTTATGGCTTCACATTCAGTTTAATTGATCATCTGTGTTAAAACTGTGTACACCCTACAACACTTGGGTGAGTGGTGAAATGTTTCTCCCACTAAAAACGCTACATCCAGATGAACAGAATCAACTTTTCTGGGATTTCTTTACCTGACTTCCCTCAGTATTGAAAGTGAGATACAATTTGAAAATGAAATATTCCTATTTAATTTATGCAGAACACAGACAGCAGAATATTATGTTGTTGGACTTTGAGTTATTTAGTGATGCAGGAAACACCTTCAGGATTACATAAAGGGCTTTTAATAGAATTTAAAGCTGAATCACTCGGCCTGCCCACCTACCTGAACAGAGGTAAACACTCATGCCATTACAGTTCATGCCATGGAGTTTGACCTAATTCCAAACTCGTGTGGGCATGATTACGATCCATTGACTGATAAAATAGAGGAACAATTCTTTTGCATATTATAATAACAGCCCAAACTTCCGTTTGTGATGTTAATGCTATTTATTTATTTATTTATTTATTTATTTATTTATTTATTTATTTATTTTTGCCAGATAAACCTAATTTCAGCTGCTACCTTATTCTGAAGGGGTCACGACTGCAGGTACTGTAGTGCATATTTGATTTGGCAGAATTTTATGTTGGGTGCCTTTCCTGATGCAACCCCATTAAGTTTCTGTCTCCTCCCAAAATCGAACCATGTGAATGGTAAATGTGAATGGTTTACACATGGTGAATGTGTAAACCACAGCACCATGGAGCCACATTAGCTTTGCTTTATTCTGTACCATGGGGACAACTGTAACTGATCAGTACCCAGTAATTACTCAGTATTTGTGCAGCTCTGTTGGTGGTTTGAATAACTGTGGGGCGACGCACACAGTAATAAACAGCTGTGTCTTCAGGCTGCAG